GCCGAATATCTGTCTACAGACTAATATTAAGGTGCAACGGAAATTTTCGGGAAATTCGCAACAGAACTCAAGAGTTATACTTACAGCACAATGACAAGCCGAATATCTGTCTACAGACTAATATTAAGGTGCAACGGAAATTTTCGGGAAACTCGCACCATTTCAAGGGCTAAAGGAAATACGTACGATGAATGTCAAAAACAAATTTCCATTTTCTGGGATCAATAAAAATGTCTTATCTTATCTTATCTTTTGTAATTGAATCGCTCTCATCCGTGGTTTTACCCCGCCATGTGCGTGATCGTGTGCGCAACTAATGCTCATTATTCGAGAAAATCAAATTGATCAAATTGAAAGGACCTGGCTTACATATTTTAATCGGAGCTGCAGCCTGGAACGGACAGTATTTTACACGCTCAAAGTGGTCAGTGGTCAGTTGTGTGGTATAATTAAATCTTTCACAGCTAAGAGATGATACACAAATTAATAATTCATAATTTTGAGCATTTAAATATGTGTTTTCCTTCTGTCTTTAAGAGCCTAAACATGTTTTTGAAAGAGTGAGTCAAGAGATTAACACGATGGTATGTAGGAGCTAGGAAGTCGAAACACGATTCGGAGAAATGTTAAAAAATAAATACATTCACTAATAAGAGCAGTCTTACAAAGATGTCTTTGATTTATTTTTAAAAGAACTTTTAAGGATGAAAAAAAAATAACCTTGAAGATTCCTAGTTTCAAATTTTGTTTAAATACAAAATTTCATAAAAGGACACATTAAGACATTTAAATACATTTTGAATAATTTGTATTTTAAATTTTGGGCTTTTAAAGTATTTTGCATTTAGATCTACATAAAATTGACTTGATGGCTTGTCTTACAGGCCGGTTGAGACAGTAGAGCAGCGGGTTCAGGGCCGGGTTCATGTTGGATAGCGCGTTGGTGAGCACGTTAAACCAGGGTGGGATCGGGTCACGGGCGTTGAAGAATTGGCTGAGGATGATCCACACCGGACACCAGCACAGGGAGAAACAAAGGATGATGGCCCCGACCGTGCGGTAAGCCTTCATGTTCCGGTTAGTTGGATTAGTTTCCCTTGATTGGATAGACGCATCATTAGTTTCCTCACTTCGAAGGGCTGAATTCTTGTAGTTTAGGTTTAAGATTTTGTCGGTTCCCCACTTCGTTGAGGTTGATTTCATCATAGGTGGAGGGACGTCATTGTTATTGCAGTGATTAGCTGATTTTGTTTCATCAATTTTATCTATAACAGCAAGATCTACATTCATCGAGGGTCTAAACATTTCATCCAGGCCCGTCCTGCTTTTGTCGTTTATTTCACTTTCCATTATGATGTGTCCACAGTGGACTTCCTCTACAGATCGCGTCACGGGCTTGACAATTTCTTGTAGATTCTTACCACGAAAGTCGGGTCGCCTTCTGTTGAACATGATCACCTCCTTCAAGATGAACACGTAGAAACAATACGGGGTGAAGAATGGAATGCAGAACCCAAGGACAATTAAAACAATGAACGATGTCGTGCTGTAGATCTCGGCGCATTCTTTACCGTTGCATTTGAATATTTTAGTGCCTTCAACGTGAGCCCAGTCCAGAACATGGGGCACCAACTGCATGAAAGCGGGGAACCCCCAAGAACAGCCGATGAGCAGATAACCAGACTTGTTGGTCAGAAGTCGATATAACAACGGTTTGCACACAGCGATGTATCTGTCAATAGCCATTGAATTTATATGGCATATAGAAACGCAGAACTGATAATATATGAAAAAGATTCTCGCGTAGCAAGCGTCCCACCCGTAATCCCACACTCCGTTTTCCATGTTATCTGAAACGCCCAACGGCGAGATAAAAAGGCGGTAAATGAGATCATTAAATGCCAGTGATATCATCAAAAGTTTCGGAATCTGATTGCTTGACCTATTTCTGTTTTTGATTATTCTTTTTCTTGCCATGGTGCCGATGTTCGGGTTATTTGTTAGTCGGTCAGAGCCTGGTCGTCTGATGCGCTCACACAACATGACAAGTATGAACGACACGTTAGCGAAGATACCGAACGCCGTCAGTATGGCCGTGATGGTGGTGGAAAGGACCACGAACTTACGTTCAGAGTAGTTGTCACGAACGTGAGGATGGAGCGAGAAGAGGAGGAAGCTGCAGTGTGAGGCGTTCATTTTTTGTGAGGCCGTTTATGAAAACCTGAAATATGTCTTTCTATGACAAACTGACTGGTGCTTCGACGACAAACTGACAGGTCCTTCTATGACAAGGGGACACGTACTTCAGGATAATCTGACAGGTCCTTCTACGACAAAATACGTCTAAACATATTCATCTATCCTTATAGAAAGTCTGACACTAATCCACGTCGTTTCATGGTTTTAGAGCAGTGTTACTCATTTGTAACCATTATACACAGCCGATTTTAATAAAACGAATTTTGTATTTTAAAAATTGACCTAATTCATGTTTTCTAAACGTTTTTGAGAACTTGTCATAACCGAAATTTCACCCGACAAACTTCTTGTTTCCACACGTTATATTATACATTTTGTCAGACACATTTTTTTTTTCTTCTAGCTGCGTTACGGGTCAATGAACATCGTTATCTTTGTATTCCTTTTCTTTTCCTATAAAAGTATCAATTTAAAACTAATAATACGATGTGACATACTTTGATCAACAATTTTCCAAACAGTATTCTAAATTATTACTTTTTTTTTTTTTTTTTTTTTTTTTTTATTTGACTTTNTTCTTCATCCTGTAGAATTTAAAAAAAAAATCGATTTAGAATGCGTCTAATTTAATAGGATAACTGTGCTAGACTGTTCCACGCGGTGATCAAAGTAGTGAGTTTTTATAATACCGCTGACGTCTTTTAATGTGTTTAAACAGTCGATGTCAAGTCTAGATTAGATGTGATGGTAATGCTGAGCCCGTGTGTCCGCGTTTGACAAAGTTGTTTACAGAGTAATCCAAGCGTAGGCACAGTTATTAACTCATGGTACATCATCAACTCATGGTACATTATTAACTAGGTGTGTCTCAGAAGTGTGCCGTAAACATCATTTTAAAATTCTTTCATAAAAAAAAAAAAAAAAAAAAGAATTTGTTAGCATGCAATACCTCATAGATAACAGAAGAAAACCTTAAATAGTTTAGCACTAGATTCTCTGTTTGTTTTTTTACGGGCGTTCTCTTTGTGTAAGGTTGAATGTTCAAACAAGTATTTCGGTGCTCGCCAGGAGTGAGTTTATTTGAAGGATGCATTCATTTCTTCTTCTTCTTCTTTCTTTTTTTTTACAAACTAAAACACATCAGTCTCATAAACGCTTTGAGGTTCTCTTCAGCTGTTTGCCAAATCATTAGCAGTCGATTGTTTTTTTTTGTTGTTGCTGTTAATGGGTTTTATAATGAATACTCCCAAGTGTAATTTAAAGATGGTGGCATCGCTATGGCAACGTAATCATACGAGATAGGGTTTGTTGGCTTTCATACATCGGATAGCGTTTTATTACAGTTATAATAATAATAATAATAATAATTAGTGGTCCTTTTTTATATATATGTATTATACATACCCCACTAAGCAAATCTTGACGTAGGGGAAATATTCATACGACCATCTTATAATACAACCCCGACACCGACCCCCCCCCCCACACTTATTTTTTGCAGTGATCAAATTATCCAAAGTCATTTATTTATTTTTTTTTTAAATATCCAAATAGTTTTGTCCTTATTTATTTAAACAAATATAATTTTTTTTTTTTTAAAATTACGTTTATAAAGTATGTGTAACACATGTTATTATTACCGTTAAGCAATACTTGTATTAACATGGTTAACTATTTCTGCAGTTGATGGCCAGCTGCTATCACTTGAAGAATTAATTCTTTCACTCCTCAACTTATCTATCTTCTCACTCAATGAAGTGGCAACGTCCAATGAATTTATACAGTGCTTTATTATATGAATTGAAAACCGCATTAATAATAATATTTGCTATGAGGATCTAATGCCATAATTCTAGGATGCAATACTCACACACTTATTCAACATATCACATCACAATTGAATCACAATACTTCCATAATCCATACGAGAGAAATTCAAATATGTCTCCTCCATATCAGATCAAAATCATGCACCCTCTTATCTCTACATAGGCGGCTAGTGAACTTCCATTCTAGAATTTAGTTCCTCCTTTTTTCTCGTGATGTACAAGTTATTCTAACGTGATGATCAAATTACTACTCCATCATGACATGATAGTGCCGTGTGTAAAATCACAGCCAACTTGGTCTGTCACAGATTGCGTTGAGTTCTACGAGACTGTGGTAAAATAAAAATATTTTATTTAAGTTCTAAACTATTTCTAAGTTTGTACGATTTAATTAAAAATGAACCATTAATTTGTTTTTGGTGTCATGAACAAGCTCCGATCCCTTCTCCCCCCCCCCACCCCTCCTCTCACAGATCATTCAGACTTGCGTCACCAGGCAGCTGCCTAATGATGCTGGTTAAAGGCATAAACGCACAAGACGTACCTCAGTTGGGAGCCGCTTTAGTCGTACGAAAACAAAAGTCAAGCCGCGGAAACCTTAGTAACTTATTTGGTTGGCTGACCAACTCTGTGTTGTGAAAAGAAATTGTGAAAGAACACCGGCTGTAGCAGAACAGCATCACCAACACTCGTAAACATTACATGAACGCCTTCTTAACTGGCCGGGTTTAACAAATTTGTTGTGATACAATTAACTGTAATTTCACATTGATTTCTACTTAAGACTTCTACTATGGCATTAGACTGACTTCTTCTTTTTTTTTTTCTTTTTTTTTTTTTGAGATAGTAACCCTGTTGGGGGGATAAGTTTTTCTCCTAGGTGCACTTCGTCCGCCTTGGTCTTTTTCTGTCACTCAGTTTTCACCCGTTCACATTGATTTCTACTTAAGACTTCTACTATGGCATTAGACTGACTTCTTCTTTTTTTTTTTCTTTTTTTTTTTTGAGATAGTAACCCTGTTGGGGGAATAAGTTTTGCTCCTAGGTGCACTTCGTCCGCCTTGGTCTTTTTCTGTCACTCAGTTCTCACCCGTGGCTCCTCAGCTGTTAGCATGAAACAGTGGCCATTTCCTGGGCAACGGCTTCCACCAGCCAGCTAAACCAGGTGAGGTTGGCTGATGGGCCCCAAACTCTTGGTGAATTAGGTCTGCCTGCCTACTGCATGCGAAGCCTGGACGTCAACAGATCCTGAGGAGGAGACCATTTAGGTTCAAAGGAGGTGAAGGCGATTACAGCAACGCACCGTTTAGTGCGTAGAGCAAGTTGAGGCACGGAGAATATCTTGGTCATCCACTGCATTCGTACCCATCTCCGGTCGTCTTGACTTAGTCTTGCCACTGGACACGATGGGTTCTGACGAGAGAGGGTGATCGACGCTGCGCAACTCTTCCTAAATTTAAACAAAGTCTTTCTCGCAAGACATCCGTCATCCAACATCCATCACCCCAAATCCTGCGGCGACGGGTAAGTGACGCAGCGATAGGCGCTGTGTACTGGTAGTCGTAACCGCAACACTGCACATACGCGACTCAGGCTATAGTGTCACTTTTCGCTGATTGGAGCAGAAGTAGCGTTCGGCAGCCACCTTTTTGTCTGAGCAGCCCTATTCAGGACAGCAATGCTCACCTACATAAACGAGGAAGGGGCTAGAAAATGTGCCTTAAAAATTGCCTGCTCCTTCACACCCTTGCTGGGTAACTATGGTTGGAGTAACCTAATTTTGCGGTCAAAAAAGAAAAACATACTATATTTCACTTCAAAATGCCCATTGAAACCTCCGTACACTGCTTGACAGGGACACTACAAACATATCGCAACGAAGCCCGACACTAATTTCCCTGAACTTTCTGGATACAACATAAACATTGCTGCCCTCAGTGAAACCAGAATCTCTGGCAAAGGTGAATTCACAGAAAGTCTTGCTGGCTCTATTATCTTTTGGAGCCAACGTGACCCTAACCCAAGGCGAGGAGCTGCAGTTGGATTTGCTATCAAAACCTCTCTTGCGAGCAAGCTCTCAAGCTCTCCAAAAGGTATTGATGACCATTTCATGACGATGAACCCCCACCTCAGCCATGGAAAGAAGGCTGCCACCTTAGCCAGCGCCTATGCACCCACCGCGACAAACACAGAAGAGACCATAGATAATTTTTGTGAAGACCTGAACACTGTCATCTCCTCCCCACCGACTGCTGACAAACAGCATTTTGGAGACGTCAATTCATGTGACGGCAGTGAATACATCTCCTAGGGCGAGTGGTATGGAAGTATGATGTTGGAAAGGGCAAAAGAAAAGACATACTGCTACTTCAGACCTGTGCTGAACACGGCCTTCTAATAAAAAACACCTCCTTCAGCCTCCCGACTTGCAACAGGACCTCCTGGATGCACCCCCGTTCAAAACACTGACACTTAAATGATTATGTCATCGTCAGAAACAGGTACCGGCAGAATGTGAAATGTGACTAAGGAAATGTGCGGCGCAGAATGCTGGATGCACCACCGCCTCATCGTATCAAAGATGAATATCCACTTTTATCCTAAGAGACGAGTTTATGCCACCAAAGCTCCGAAATGCCTTAACGTCAGTGGGCTGAAGATTCCTGATGTTAGACACACATTTGTTGACAACCTGAGAGAATGCCTTAATAACTTCATACTGGACAATCATGGGTGACGAAATGAATGCCAGACTCTCAAAAGCCGGTGTCATATTTGACAGGTTCTGCAGCACTGTGTGGGACAGGAATGGTATCAGACGAGAAACGAAGATCAATGTATATAGCGCAGCAGTCCTCTCGACGGATCTGAAACGTGGGCAATCTACCAGCGCCACGCCAAGAAACTAAACCATTTTCACAGAACCTGCCTTAGGAAACTCCTCGGCAT